TACGATAGTTTACTAAAATTACTAAAATTTGATTTTTTTATGAAATTACTAGAATTATTTGTGAATTATTGTAATTTTTCTAAAATTACTTGATGGAATGGAATTCTTGGAATTATTTTTGGAAATGCTAATTTTTTTTGAAACTATTGGAATTACTAAAATTATTTTGGAATTACGAAAATTCAGTTATTTTCGGTGGAATGTTTTTGGAATTAGTTTTTCCAAGTTGATAAAAATTAAGTGGCATTTGCAATTGTTCTTTTCTAATTCTAATTTTGGCCTTTCCCTGCTGATGTATCAGCAGGAACTGCAGAGTTCCTGCACGATGTAAATCACCTCTTTTAAACAAACCGTTTCCACCTTGACATTTCACTCATCCCATCCCTGATTCCTTCCCCATTTGCGAAGTTCACGTCCGTGAATCGACGCACCTGTCTTTGAATACCACCCACATAGTTGGAAACTGTCTCAGGGTAACAAATTACAACTTTGAAAGAGTATTGCACAAGTGATAGCCCCTTCTCTCATCCTCTCATCCGATCGGTTCGCAATTGCAAACTATTCACTTCTAAACTATGTATGTTGTGAGAATCAGATTATTATGTTTCTGTTGATATGACTTTCATCACAAACACACTCAATTTGGTAAGCTTTTGTCTTAATTTTTGCGATTGTATGTTAATCTAAGCTCGATTGAGAAAAGAGTTTAATATTTCCTCATTGCTTCCTAACACTTTATTGTCACCACTTGAGAATTTCCATTTTCACATTTTCTGATTTCATCAAAGCTTCAGTTTTTCTGTTAATTATTTAATTACAAGTTGCGATTTTGTAATATATTAGCGATGGCATTTAGCCAGTCTTTTGGTAAAAGTGCCTAACCTTAGGCACATCCAATTAGAAAAGCGTAATTTTTATTGATTAATTGTTTCGTAAATCTCACGGTCAGGTAAAAGGTTCGAGACAATTATGGGATGTTCTAGCACGAAAATAGTCCGATTTTTCGCTTCGATTACTATAATTTATTGGCAATTGCAAAATTTTTGATTTTTTCTTTAGGAGAGAATCAGTGCGTGCAAGGAATGTGATTAATTCAAACCATTAATTACATTTAATTATAATTGACGCTTGAACGTCGGAAAATCGCTTCTTACAAAACTAATTACAACAATATTGAACGATTTGGATTTTAGTAACAAAACTATCATAAATTATTTCTCGTGCATTCAAAAAATTAATTAATATTTATTAAATTAAGTTAAAAAAAACTTAATTGCTGTTAAACAAACCGTTTCATTCTCTAAAAACTCGCATTTAGTGCTTTTTACAAAGTTTTACAAATATGAATGTGATTATAATTGCGTCAAATAACTAGAAAATTGTTCAAAAAACTTAATTTGCTTTAAACTGGAACCCCTACAAAGCTAGCTACTTTTTGTTTAAAAAAATACCAAGGCCAAGAAAGATACTCCAAAGTCAGTTTTGTAAAAGATAACCTTAGAAATAGTAAGAGAACAAGTTTGATAAGAATAAATTTTATCTAATTTTTTCATGTTTGTCTTTATCAAAGGCCAAAATCTTTGTAGACAAACAAAGAATAAGTTTTCTGTTTTTTTTTGTAGTTTTTGTATTTTCTTCCTGAACAGAGTTTTAGTAAAAGAAGTTTTTTGATTCAGTTTATGACTTTTTCGGCGTTTTTCCCAATTTTGTGTCTTCGTTGAGCGTTGAAATCCCCACAGTTAAATTTCTATATTTTGTGTTTTAATGTTTCGTTGAAACTTCTTCAGTTTTTATATTCTTATCCATAGTTGAATCCCTATCAATATTCTTATTTTTTTGGTTGATAAAAAAGGATTATCAAAAAAAGATTATTTGATAAAAACCAAAAGTAGTAGT